AAAAAAAAAAAAAAAAAAAAAAAACATGGGAGTGCCAGGCAAAGAAATTTGCAAGTTGGTTTTCCAATAGGAGAATCCTGAGTTGCAAGTGGTATTTCGAGTGTTTAAAAAAAATTTTTTTTAATGTTTATTTTCGAGAGAGAGAGAGAGAGAGAGAGAGAAAGAGAACAAGTGGGGGAGGGGCAGAGAGAGGGAGACATGGAATCTGAAGCAGGCTCCAGGCTCTGAGCTGTCAACACAGAGCCTAACGTGGGGCTTGGACCCACAAACCGTGAGATCATGACCAGAACCAAAGTCGCACACTTAATAGACTGAGCCACCCAGGCACCTTGGTAGTTCCCAGAGTTCAGAACAAGTAAGTCTGAGAGAGATTACGGAAAGAATTGACAATGATGTCTTGGATATGGTGGGTTAAGAAAAAGGGAGAACTTAAGACAACCTTCAGATAGCAAACCTGAATGGATGGGAAATGGATCGGCTCAGGAAAGAAACGTTACTAGATATATAGAACAATGCCTTGCACATAGAAAGCACTGTATGTTAGCTATTAGTAAGCGCCAAGGACTATTTAACTGCTTATATATCTAAACTTGGTATCAGGTAATTTAACAAAAGTATCAGAGAATTTAATAAGATATGAATAAACCTCACATAGCATTTACTAGTAGAGAATTCGTATGTTCAAAGAAAAGTAAAGTATATGTTTTAAATTTTTTTCAGTATAAATCATCAAGGAAGAGTTCAAGTGGCAATGAAAACGATGAGGTGAGAAAAGAGGGTAAAGCAATTCTTTAAAATGTTTACTTTTCATATGTAGTTGGTTCAATGAAAGTAAAATGTAATACATCTGTCAGTTTGTTAGTGATTTAATGCGTGGGTTTTTTCCAATAATACAAACAGGACATCATCATGCAGTTATTGATTTAATTATGTAATTTCCATATATCTTTTACCTCGAACGGAATTTCTGATAGTTCAGTTCTTTCTTTTTAATGTTTGTTTATTTTTGAGAGCGAGACAAGTGTGAGAGCAGGGGAGGGGCAGAGAGAGAGAGAGGGAGACACAGAATCAGAAGCAGGTTCCAGGCTCTGAGCCGTCAGCACAGAGCCCGACACAGAGCTCGAACCCACGAACCATAAGATCGTGACCTGAGCTGAAGTCAGACGCTCAACCGACTGAGCCACCCAGGCGCCCCATCTAATAGTTCGGTTTTAGAATTTTATTAACATTTACCTTTTACATTTTCTCATCTTCTGTCTCCCTAAACCAACGCTGTGGTCAGTTGAGATTCTTTTGGACTTTGTTAATCTTTTTCTGCAAATTCTGTGTACTATTTTAACACGTGAAATTAGATTTCTACGGTTTGTGCCTTATTATAAATTTTTCTACCTCACCATTTTAAGTTATGCAGCAACCTAGCATTTTTGGAATGACACAGTGCCATCACCATAAATACTTCAGCTTTGGGTATTTTTGGTCGAAGGGATTGGTATTAATTTGGTGTTGGGTACTTGGCAGGGCTTCTGAATACTTCAATTTTGAGAAATGGGACCACACAGAAAATGTTTGCCGAACCCCGAGCTAGACGCTCAGCTTGGCTATTGCCCCTGTCCCTTTATATTTTATATCCACTCTGGTCCTGCCTACCTCAATATCCAATCGCTTAGCAAGACCTACTTTTTCTTTTTGATACTGAAATGTTTTGAATACGTTCCCCACCTGCACTTCTGCTATTTCTGCCCTGGCCCAGGCCCTTAACAGTTTCTGCCTGTCCCACCACAATGGCGTCCTTGCTCTCATCCCTTTCTCCGGTCCACTTTCCTCCCTGCAGCCACAGTGACTGCTCCAAAGAACACAGAAAGGTGAGCAGGTTCTCTCCTTGCTTAGAAACCTTCAACGCGTCCCCGTCACTTAGAAGGTAAATTCTAGGGCCTTCCTGATCAAGCCCCCGTTTACCACACCAGCCTCTGCTCATGATCTGTCCTGCTTTCTCTCGCTTTCGTTGTGCCGTCCGGCAGTATGAACTGCTCACGGGTTTCCTGCCTCATCCTTTCATTTTTGCTCCCGTGCCTTCGTCCTTGTCCTCTCGTCTTGGAATGTTGTTCCCTTCCTTCTGTTTCCGGCAAACACCTACTCAGTTTTTTACTTTCCCAGGAAATTTGCCTTTCTGCACCACCCCTACCGTTTCCCCAAGTGCCCCTCATCTGCGTCTCCTAATATGCCAGGCCGTGGGTCTGTCATCGTACCGAGAAGGTTGTATTGCCTGTACAAATGAATCTATTTTCCCCCTAGACTGAGAGATCCTTGAGTGGATGATATTTTACTAAGTTTTAATATTCCCACTGTGTAGCACAGTGTCTGACACACAGTAGGTAGTCGGTAATCTTCTGTTGAAGGCAATGATGATGTCCTGTGGTATGCATATTCAAGGTTAAATGTTAAGATTTTTCGATTTGGTTGCTAGTGGTCATTAAAAAAACATGGACCATTTAATATTAGTTTAGGCAGGTAAATCTTTTGTATTTATTTCTAAGCCTATAGTAGAGACACGTAATTTTCCAGGTAAATGTTCTTATTTGAGGTGATGCAATTTTTGCCTGCCTCCACGTACTTCTCTCGGATTGTCGCGTATCGTTGGCATTTCGAATTAATCCTAATATATGGATCCCTTGTAAGAAATAAAGAAAGATTTTCCTCATTTGTGTTACTTAAAGGACATAAATTCACAGGGATATTTGATATGACTAGATAGTGCTTCTGATACCTTAAAGTGCTTATGATTTTATTGATCTAGATTCTGGTTCAGCGGGTCTAGGGTTGGCCTGAGATTCTGCATTTCTAACAGGCTCCCAGAGGGTGCTGACGCTGTTGGTTCACCGACCACACTTTGAGTGGCAAGGTGGTAGATGGTATTTTCTAGATTCTTCCTTTAGCAGTGGATCAGAAGCAATTTTCAGTTTTTCTTTTATATGTCTAAATCATCATGTGTATTTTAATTTCATCTTTCATCTTTTTATTTTTATATTTTAGCAAGACAGTGATAATGCTTATATGTCACCACAATCTCCAGTATCATCTGAGGTACAAGTTCTGTTTTTATATGTGTTTACATAGGTTTCTTCCTTGTCTCTTCTCTGTAACCTCATCTTTATTTTTTTTTTTTGAAACAATACAATTTATTCACTCATATTAAAAAATCCACAGTAGGTTAATTTGTACAAACCTAGTCTGTAAAAAAATTCTGAGGACACCATCTTTTGTACAAATGTTCATAATCATAATTGGAAAATGCCTGTAGAGCACAGAAAAGACTTCCCTTTATAAAATTCTGTGTTTTAGAATTCATCTATATTTTGAAATGAGAAGAGCAACTTTACAGTTTTAAATTTGAAAGAAGTACTTCAGCATTGTGCAATGACCTTTGGTTTTTCTCATAACCACTGAGGTCTGAAAGCAATGCAACAGAAACTTCCTTTTTCCACGAGAAACATCCCTGCGGTGGGTTGTTCCTATCGACAGGAGGGCACACATTTCCTGGCATCTTAGACCTAAGGGCGAGCCTGGGGAAGGAGGGGTGGGATGAAAGGTGGAGTTTGTGAGATCTTACCCAGATACTCTAGTGGTTTGAATGATTGGTTCTTCTAATTTAGTGAGACCTATTTGCTTTACAACAAGAGATTAAATGAACAATTCTAAGCAGTATCTTTGCTACTTCAGATGACCTTATTTAGTATGATAAAAGTGTGTTGGCATTGGTAAATAAATGATTATGTATTCATTTGGTGAATTCGGAACTTTGTCTAAATGTTCGGGTCATCCATATTCACCATATAACTTTGGTTAATCACAAAGGTAGTGTTTCATTTTATATAGGTGGTGTTAGTTTTTTAAAAAAGCCCGGATCATTTGTCTGTTGTTTTGGGTGAGTTGCATCATAAAACTTTTAAATGGACTTGGATGTTAGTTTTATAAACACATCTCTAAATTATTTGTATGGCAGGTAAAATGGTTTGCGTTCTTTTAGAAAGTAACTAAAGTTAGGGTATCGTAAAATTAGTCTTGGTCACATGCTTTTGTTAATCCTTTCTTTTACTTTCAGTTATAAAAATGTAAGCATATAAGTGACTAGTTGCCTGGTTGCTTTATGATTTTATGATCTGTGCTCATGGGGAGAGAGTGTTAGTGCCAGTTTTCTCAGATAAATTATATTGCTTTTATAATACATTTTGCTTGCATTTGGATAAATGAAATTTGGGGGAATTCATAATACTTTTAACCAAAGTAACGAACAAATCGTGAGGCTTGTGGGTGGATAGGGTGATGAATACATGTGGTGGTGGCTCAATTAACATTCAACTTGAACTGCATGTACCATACTAATCAGCAGAAGATTCAGAGAATCACCGAAATTCTGATAACTTCCATTTCATCTGTAAAACAAAATGGTAAAAACATTTAGTATATTGCTATACTATTTATTTTCATTTCCTTTTTTTAAAAAATGTTAAGGAGGCTCCATGCACAACGTTGGGCTTGAACTCATGACCCCGAGGTCAAGAGTTGCATGCTCTTCCGACTGGGCCAGCCAGGCGCCCCTAGTTATAGTACTCTACTTTTAACAAAGTGCTTGCCTGTACACCTGAACCTAGAGCAGCCCCATGAGCTCAGTATTATCCTCATAATTTTATAGCTGAGGAGACTGGTAACCTTTGCCAAAGATCCCAGTCAATAAATGGTAAGGAAGCGACTGAGGCCCTTGCAGTTGTTGCAAGTGTTAAGTAAGCTACTGCTAAAATTGTTTTCTTACAGCTGTACAATTTCCAGAGTGCTTTCTTCTAGTTATCTCAGTTAATCTTCACAACAGTCTTCCATTTTAAATGTGAAGAAATAGTCACAGAGAAATTAAATGTTTTGCTAAGCTTTCTAACTCCAAGCTCAGACGTTAAAAACATACCACAGTTCTTCCCATAGCACACCTCTAAATGCACTTGGAAACAATGAACCTTAAAATAGAAGAGATGATAATTTGTCATCTGTTGGTATCACCTGTCACTCCCTATTACCGTGAACGTGTAGATTTGCCTCAGATTATCTATTCAATGTCAAGTCCGTAGTAGACACTTAGTAAATGTTGCTAATTTCACTTATTTCTTCATTGAAGCTTACTTCATTTTTTTCGGAGGCTTTAATCTGGTTCTTCATTCAAAAAATCCCTATTTATTTTATGTAATTCAATAATTTTTAATTTTCCTTAAACTATGAGAGAGAAGTATTTAAAAGCTTATGCAGTCAGATCAATTAGCAAATATTTGTAGGTCTTTTAAAAGTGAAATGTATCGGGGCGCCTGGGTGGCGCAGTCGGTTAAGCGTCCGACTTCAGCCAGGTCACGATCTCGC